TGTACTACGACGACGGCCCCCCTCAATAATCAATCCCCCCCACCCCGGGCGCGACATCAATCAAGGGGGGGGTTATTAATAGGAGGTTAACATTATTCAGACGCGTATGCTATCCTTACACGGCATAAACTTCAATGCCGAGCAAAGCTTTGAGCCCAACGAGTTCGAAGGGCTAGGGTTAACCTTAACCCTGAATAACCTACCTTTTCCTGGTTCCTTATTGTTTTTCCTTATATAGGCCAGTAAAAAGGTAGGTTATGTAGGGTTAGGGGTCTAAGGTTTATGCGTCTCAGGTCGAAGCTGAAGGGCTTTAGGGCTTGAGGATTTAAGCTCTACGGGCCAAGCTGAAGGCTTACGGGCTTTGGGGTGTAGGGTTTAAGCTGAAGGGTTTCGGGCTTCAGGCTTTTAATGTTTAGGGTCTTAGGGATCTGGCCACAGAAAGGCAAGCAGCTGTGCCTCTGTGTGCTGCAGCCCCGACTGAATGTCCTGTGACAGTGTTCAGGATGAGAACACAGCAACCTTCTTTGTGAACACAAGACGAAGGAAAATGTTGAACATCAATTTCGCGGTTGCAGGCTCGAGGGCTTGTTGCTAAAGTTGCTAAAGCCTAAACCCTACCCCGGGCCAGGATACTGACGGGAGGGGCTTCAGCTGCAGGCTTCAGTTTAGGGTTTTCTGTGTGTAGACTGTATAGAGCTGAGAGCTTGAGCTTCAGGCTTAGCTATAAACCTAAACCCGTAAACTTAACAACTATACAGTTGTTCAGCAGTAGGGTCTATGATCGTTAAGGATCATAAACCCTACTGCTGAATCTGAACGGTCCAGGTTCTAGGGTTAAACCGTGCACGCTGAACCCCAACCCCTCCCGAAAGCTTCAAACCCCAGACTCCTAAATCACAACAGCTTTGTTCTGCCAGGCTGCTCGAGAAAACCCTCGTAGAGTAGATCTTTATACGGGAGTTTCCGACAATAGGGGACTCTAATACAGTACCCCAACATAGTAGGATCCTTACAATAAGGACCCCCCGAAAGAAGGTATACCCCCTAAGTTTCGGAAGCTCCCATACAAAAGCAGACAACACACCCTCAACCCCAAGAGTCGAAGGTCCCTCATTTGGGAGTCACTGTACAGTAGAAGCCAGAAAGTTGGAATATCATTATCGTAACCCCTTTAAGGTAAATTATAGGGGATCCTACCATTAGTCCATAGCCCAACTTTCTGGAGTTCCCTTAATCAGGGTCCCGACGCACCCTGAATCCCATATGTTTGGGAGTCATTGTATTTAGGATCCTACATGATCCCACGATCTGTTGCTCTATGCAAATAAATAGTCCCAAATTTCCGAATCCCCCCAGAACCCCCCCCCCCCCCCCACCCTCTTTTTGGCTTCGCATCTCCATTCAGCGTTCCTCTGACCAGACTGCAGGAGGCTCAAACTTGTTCGGCCCGCTGGTTAAACAGTGGAGACTGTAGGTAGTTACATCCTCAAGCCTGAACCCTGTGATCGATTCCAAACAGCAGCCTTGCACAAAGATATGGGAGTTTCCACGAATTAGGGGTACCTTATTTTGGGGTCCTTATAATAAGGATCCTATTTGGGTGCCCTATTTTCGGAAACTCCCACATCGGGCGGTGAGTTCACGAGCCGGACATTGTCGGGACTTGCCTCGGAGCACTGCGGTTGATGATGCAAATCCTGCATTACCGTCGACCCCAGATTATGGGAACTGTGGTACATTCCTTCTTCTAGGTAAGCCAGGAGTTATATATATATATATATGTATCATCAACCGTTTTGTGTAAGGCTCCGAGATGCAAGGCTGGAGGACCTCCCTGCCGAGCCGATGCTCGAAGGCCTCAAAGGTGGGATGAAGGTAGGTAGGATTAAGGATCCCTTATATAAGGACTCTTATTTGGGAATATCCCACCTACCTTCATCCCACCTTTTGAGGCCTCCGAGATGCCACTCATTTATCTCGATGGTGTTCACGTCCTGGATCTTGCATGGACCCTGAACCTCACTGGCACAAAACCCAAGGAAATGAAAGTTGAAACTTTCAGAAGCGACTACCTTATAAGAGCCCTAAAAGTTGAAAAGTTGAGTATACAGCCAATAAGGAACCCGCAAACCCTAAGCAGGGCTTCGGGTTTGCGGACCCGGTTCTCAGCCCCTGGATCTTATGCCCTGTGGGTGAATGGTTGATGCCTTTTTGTAGCTGGTGTTTGCGGTTTAGGGTTCAGGCAACCTGACTTGCAGCCCTACAGTTGCCAAGAACGGCACGGCGAAGCATGGGTCTTCTCAAGTACGTAGCATCCGACAATCCAAGGGTAAAAGGAGGGACCCTTAATAAGGACCCCTAGGTATATACCCTGAATATAGCTGTTATATACCCATTCTATAGCCCATTATAGGGTAGGGGTCCTTCTTAAGGACCCCTCCTTTTACCCTTTGAGACAAGCCCGTACAGGGTCCGGCGACACATATTTAAACAGATCGTGTAATTCTGAGCCTGATCTGGGGCTTTCGGGTTCATCGCACTTCGATGGGTTTAAAGCAAAAGCCAGAAAGTTGGAATATGATTCTCCTAAGCCCTTCATGGTAAATTATAAGGTATCCTACCCTGAAACCATATTCCAACTTTCTGGAGTTCCCTTTAGAACGTTTTTGCTTCTGTCCCCGGCTCAAGAACATCCTAAGCCAGCAAATGAAGTGCCAAAACATCACTAGACCCGAAGCCCGAAAATCCCCCAAACCCGAGATAGCAAGCCCTACCCGCAGCACTTGCAGGCTCATGGGTCAGCGGCAGCTAACCATATGTAAACTCACTTTACGGTATAAGATCTTGTGCTATATGGGAGTTTCCGAAAATTGGGGACCCTAATATAATGCCCTAAACAGTAGGATCCCCTTGTTATAGGGCCCCAAAATAAGGTACCCCGAATTTTCGGTAACTCCCACAGGCATTCAGCCTGCCTCTAAGTACGTAACCTGTACACACCCGACAGACCTAGAACTTCCATGACCAGGCTCAAAGCTCCGCCCCTCGAACCCTTAACCACAAACCCTGAGGCATGAACTAAACTTACCCTAGGGATCTAACGGTTGATGATATAAATCCTGCATTACCCGTAAGAAGGAAGATATAAGAAGGAATATACCATAATTCCCATAGTTTAAGATCCTTAAGGTATTGCAGGATTTTTATCATCAACTGAAGGACTCATATATTAAGGCTTCTGGGCCCAAAGACCATACTTTGTAAGGCTTTTGGGCTATTCTGATCCCTAGGGTTCCATAGGCCCTGCCTGACCTATAGTCTCCATTGTAGTTCCTTATTGCTGTAACCAGCCCTATAAACGGTTTAGTGTTTAGGGTCTCCATTGTTGTTCATTTTGTTTTAACCAGCTCTATAATCCTGATCCTATGAGGTAAACCCAAATAGAAGCTACAATGGGACTGTAGGCAGACTGCAAAGCAGTCCCTGCAATAATCAATGTGCGATCAAGGATGGTTTACAGTGGTAAGAACCTGGACACATCCCATAACATCCTCTTCTCAAGTCAAATGCACCTAAGCCCGTATCAACCCTGAACCCTCGACCCTTAAACAGTTTAGACACCTTCTCTAAGGGTCGAAGTACCCTAAATATCATATATACTCTCCAAAATAGCAGCCTGCAGCCTACTAACTACTATCCGAAACCTAATTGTACCTAATTATTGGGTCCTTTGGACCCTTAAACACCTTAAACTCCTAAACTCCTTAAACCCTTATAAACCCTAAACGCTAAACCCTAACCCCTAAACCCCAAACCCTAAACCCATAAAACCCTAAACCCTCGACCCTTAAACGCCTCAAACTTTGAACCGGGAGCCCTGGTCTGGCCTGGGCAGAGCTCCTGGTGGTTCCGAGCAGCTGCATGAGGGTGCACTTCGTCGTGGCACAGGCCTCAATCCCTTGGGGTTTAAGGACTCATGTTTTAAGGCTTTTGGGCTGTTTTGAGCCTTAGGGAATAATGGAAAGTAGGGTTTCTACATTAAGCCCGAAGCCCTTTACCCTAAACCCCGAAAGCCCTACAGCGCAGACCTATGATAATGTAATTAACTTTGAATCCTAAGCCTTACCCTTAGGCTCTAAGGACACATATTTTGAGGCTTTGGGCTGTTTGGAGCCTTAGGGATAGTCTAAACTGAGGTTTCTGTATAGGGAGCTACTGGCTTGTCGTAATAATGCTCGGGCTCTTGCTTCCCACCCTATGAGCACCCCGGATCCTAAACCTTTATAGCATCAATAGTAAGAATATAGCCTCAAACAAGCCGAAACTCTAAACAACATTACTAAAGCTGCCGACATAAATTCAACCCTCTTGAGCACGAAAGAACGTTAATGGACACACTCGGGGCTCGGGATTCATCTGCTCTAGAACACAGCCGGCTGTGGTATTCAAGGTTGGCGGGGCCCTCTAGAGCTCAGCGAGAAATTCAGGGTTGGTTGTGTTAAATTACTGTTTTACACACCTAAATCCTTGAAGCTGGTTCACGGGGTAGCTCGTTTATAAGAAAGTAAAGCCATGGCAAGTTTGGCTTCGGGATTTAAGCTGCGTGCAACCTGCGGACATAGTCCTCTGTAGAAGTGCGAGCGAGCAATAGCCCAAAGCACTGAAGGCTACGCCAACGTACGTGAAATCTCAAGATAACTTTCTAGGTCCTAGTTCCGAACCGTATACATCCCTAAATCCCACCCTAAGCCTTCAAGGCCGAAATCCCCTGACTTTCCCAAAAGGGTCCAAAGTACCCATATAGTCGTATAGTAGAATGTAGGGTTTCTGTACTATCAATTGTTAGTATGATTTGGGGACGTATTGCACATAACAGTACCTAGGACCCTTTGGGTTTTAGAATTCGAGAGTCTGTGGGACGCCAAGTTCAAGGACCACGTGGAGGTTTCTTGGTCATTAATAGGAACCATGCGGCAAATCTCGGTGCCATGGATGGGCGCCTAGAAACCGACGATCGGATAGTTCCGGCCTGCACGGAGCGGCTCTGGGCGCATAAGAATTTCCTGTGGATCCAAAAACCTACCGTTAGGGTTTGGGGATACGGGTTTTGCTTCTTGGGAGTGGTGGGCGACAATTGAGTCGGGTTTGGAATGTGCGCAGACGCCGCTTTCTCGCAGGCACTGGTACGTGCCTGACACTCACCTTCTCCGGTTGAGGAAAGCTCCGTTTTAGGAGTTGGGCATTTCAGCCTCCACGTATATGTATTGCTTAATTAAAGGGTCTTGAGCTCAACCCTATACGCTAAACCTCTAAACCCTAGACCCCTAAACCCTAGAGCCCTAAACCCTAAAGCCCTAAATCCTAAAGCCCTACATCCTAAAGCCCTAACCCCTAAAGCCCTAAACCCGACACCCTTTCAAAGGTCGTTTGGTTCCCAAGATGCAAGAACCCAATGGGGAGGCTCAGTTGGCCGAGCGTCGACGCGGCCGGGGGTTTTCGAAGTTATAAAGCCGATGGGGTCCCTAAGCCCCATGGGGTTTAGGGTTTTAGGGTTTTAGGGTTTAGGGTTTGGGGTTTTAGGGTTTAGGGTTTAGGGTTTTAGGGTTTAGGGTTTAGGGTTTTAGGGTTTAGGGGTTCAGGGTTTTAGGGTTTAGGGGTTCAGGGCTTTAGGGTTTAGGGGTTCAGGGTTTTAGGGTTTAGGGGCGTATCTTGTTAAGGACTTTTGGCAGAGAAGGGAAGGTTTTCCAGGGTCGAGGTATAGGGTGCAAGGGTGATGGAGCTTCGGGCTTTTTTAATGTTTAGGGTTATATAGGGTAGAGGGTAAAAACGGGGGGCTAAACTCAAGGTGCCAGAAGCCGGCATACCACACCCACCTTGAGATCACCATACCCCGTAATTAAGGAATATACCTTATCTCATATTATTAAACCCCCTTATAGTTCAAGGTATGTCCCTTAATTGAGGTGTATTGGGATCTCTGGGAAAAGCCCACCTTCTCGAACGCTTTACCCAGGCAAAGCCCACCTTCTTCAACGCTTTCACCCACGCTGTTGGATAGTAGCACGCCAGAGTCGTCCCGGACAGGTGCCAGCAGAGGCCGTTTCCTGGAGGGAAGAGGAACCGTAACATAGGGGCCTTAATCATTGCCTACACCATTTTTGGGGGTTCCTTATTAGTCTTTCTCGAGTCTAATTAAGCAAACAGATGCCGCGAACCGGGGTCTCCAGTCGGCAAACTTTCTTGGCCTCTCCTTAGAATTCCATCGACGGCAAAATCACGGCGTATTTCTGTCTGCTAGTGAACTCGCATAACACTATGAGACTCGGGTCTTGAAGGGGAGAACAGGAAAGCAATAGAACAAAACTGAAGAAAAGAGCTCGAAGGAGTGAAAGCGACAGGGAAAGGGGAGAAAAGTGTCAAGCGAAAATATGCCATTATATCTCTTGTATAAGTTCTAGTACAATTACCTCAGAACCCTATTCTAATTGTTGCGGCGCCTATATTAGCAGCCGATGTCCCCATGTAACCAAAGTCAGTTATGTTGTTTACATATTGGATGAAGTGGGCTTTCCGGGCGCCTTGCGGATATCGTCAGTCTTCTAAAATGCTAGCATAGGGGTGAACACTTGTAAAGGCTCTTGGGGCACCTTGAGACTGTCTGTACTTAGCACAGAATCCGGAGAAGGCCATAATGACTATAAAACAAGTCTTGTGGTAAGCTGCATGAAGAAACAAAGTACTAGCAAAGAGCGGTAGTGGTAATGACTCAGACCCCCCGCCCCCCGGCAAAAAAATAGGTGCTGAGGGCATGGGGTTTAGAGTTCTCATGGCCTTAGACCCCATCTTGGTGCCTTAATCTCCGTGACAGAACAGCGCTGCACCCCCAAAGCCCCCTGACACAGCCTCCCGAGGTACTTGTAATTCCACACCTGGCGTTGACGACCGCCGTGTTGTTTTTTTAAACCCTAAACCCTAAATCACAAGCCCTAAGCCCTGGAGCTTTGAATTGGATGGGGCTTGCAGCTCCGGGATTTGGGATCTGATTTCCAGGGATTTTGGCTTGAGATTGCTGGACAACTTCGAAGTTCTCAGACGCCAGCACTCATCCCCGAGATACGGTTGATGATATACATCCTGCATTGCCTTAAGGACCCTAAACTATGGGAATTATGGTATATTCCTTATTATGGGCCATGCAGGATTTATATCATCAACCGTATCAAGACCCCTCAATCAGGGGATACAACTTCTAGTATTGGGGCTTTGAGACCATGATTCAAGGTATATTGCTTAAATCATGCATTTTAAGGTCCCTATAAATTTGAGATTCCTTGAGCCACGAGTAGGATAACTACAGTACAGGCACTACAAACTTGAAACTGAATAAGACTACCCTTATAGGGACCCTTCATGACCCCTTAAAGGAACCCCTTTGAGTAACTCATTGAAGAACCCGTATCTCAACAGAAAGAAGGGACTGTCATGGGCCTGGGTTTTTGTTTAGGGAGCCTTTATAGTAACCCTTAGAGCAAACCCGAGGGGACCCTTTGCCCCAAAACGTACAAAAAACTTTGGAGCTGTACCTGGACCCCAGAAAACCTTCCTTTTTTGTGGTTCCCTATTATGATTTCCCTCTATAAGTCCGCAAAAACGTCTAGGTTAGTTGGGGTTAACATAAGGGCTCAGAAGTGATCCAACCCATTGTCCATTTTTTGGGGCTTCGGTAGACTTCTGCAGCCCCTTCTGAAGGTCTCGTCAGGATTGAGTTCAGGATTACAAAATGTGGGGTTTATGGGTTTGGGGGTTAAGCTTATCTAGGATTCCCAGTAACCTAGGAATAAAAGGGGCTCCCTTTTGGGTATTGGGCAACTTTATAAGGAACCTAGGACTGCAAACAGGAAATAAGGGTACTACTGGGCATCCTAGTAGTTGTTTGTAGAACTCATGGATCCTTAGCTTGCTTGCATGCCACGAAATTGCCACCTGGTGTGGCCCGTGTTTTCCAACCCGTGCGACGCTTGCGAATACTTGCCGATTCGTACTGACACGCGCTTGTGAGTGCCGCGTTGAAATTTCGCGCCAAATCCAGGTTCAGACACCTTCAGAAGAGGACCCCAAGAATCCCTACATCCTTGTGTCCCAATGTGATATGGCAGCTTCCGGCTCAAGGTGGACAGATTCTGGGATTTAACCCAAAGGGTCCAAGTATCATTATGGTATATACTTATAGCGTATTTTGGGTCTAAGTATAGACCATAATGATACTCGGACCCTTTGGGTAAGTTGGAATTGAGGATGAAGGCCTCGTGTTCAAGGTTTAAAGTTTGCCAGCGTTTGGAATCGAGGGGTCAGAGTGAACGATGCTAGCTACCATGAGGGCTACGCTAATTAAGGGGTATTTCAAGGGGTACTCGATGGGGTATTGTAAGGGGTAAAGTCCGTGACTCGACTTGCCTTCCAATAGTCCACGAAGCCGTTGGACAGGAACCAGTTGCGCACAACTTCTTCCTGGGCTATGATCCCAAAGGGCGTGCTCCGTAGTTTCGAGCTTCATGAATATGGTTACCACGATCCTATAGCTCGCCGCTGCGATCATTGCTGCAATACAGCCACCTTGAGCTTTAAGTCGATTACCGCATGCTTTCCTACGACAGCATGGCATGTGATCATCCAGCCACCCTTCCATCCCTTCATTCATTCATTCATTCATTCATTCATTCATTATTTCATTCATTTCATTCATTTCATTCATTCATTCATTCTTTTTTTCATTTCATTCATTCATTCATTCATTCATTTCATTTCATTTCATTTCATTTCGTTTCATTTCATCTCATTTCATTTCACTCCATTTCATTCCATTCCATTCCATTCCATTTCAGTTCATTTCATTTCGTTTCGTTTCATCTCATTTCATTTCGTTTCATTTCATTCCATTCCATTTCATTCCATTCCATTCCATTCCATTTCATCCATTCATTCATTCATTCATTTCATTCATTCATTCATTCATTCATTTCATTCATTCCATTCATTCATTCATTCATTTCATTCATTTCATTCATTCATTCATTCATTCCGTTCATTCCATTCATTCATTCCATTCATTCATTCATTTCATTTCATTCATTCATTCATTCACTCACTCATTCACTCCTTCACTCCTTCACTCATTCACTCATTCACTCATTCACTCATTCACTCATTCACTCATTCACTCATTCACTCATTCACTCATTCACTCATTCACGCATTCACGCATTCACGCATTCACGCATTCACTCATTCACTCATTCACTCATTCACTCATTCACTCATTCACTCACTCACTCACTCACTCATTCACTCATTCACTCATTCACTCATTCACTCATCCAGTCATCCATTCATCCATTCATCCATTCATCCATTCATCCATTCATCCATTCATTCATTCATTCATTCATCCATTGATCCATTCATTCATTCATTCATTCATTCATCCATTCTTTCATTCATCCATTCATTCATTCATTCATTCATTCATGCATTCATTCATTCATTCCATTCATTCCATTCATTCATTCCATTCATTCATTCATCATTTCATTTCATTTCATTTCATTTTTTCATTCTTTCATTCATTCATTCATTCCATTCATTCATTAATTCATTCATTCATTGATTGATTGATTCATTCATTCATTCATTTCATTTATTCATTCATTCTTTCATTTCATTCATTCATTCAGTCATTCATTCATTCATTTCTTGCATTCATTCATTCATTCATTCATTCATCCATTCATCCATTCATCCATTCATCCATTCATCCATTCATCCATTCATCCATTCATCCATTCATTCCATTCATCCATTCATCCATTCATCCATTCATCCATTCATTCCATTCATCCATTCATCCATTCATTCATTCATTCATTCATGCATTCATTTTATTCATTCATTCATTCCATTCATTCCATTCATTCCACTCATTCATTCCATTCATTCATTCATTTCATTTCATTTCATTTCATTTCATTTCATTCATGCATTCACTCATTCACTCATTCACTCATTCACTCATTCACTCATTCACTCATTCACTCATTCACTCATTCACTCATTCACGCATTCACGCATTCACTCATTCACTCATTCACTCATTCACTCATTCACTCACTCACTCACTCACTCATTCACTCATTCACTCATTCACTCATTCACTCATTCACTCATTCATTCATCCATACATCCATTCATCCATTCATCCATTCATCCATTCATCCATTCATCCATTCATCCATTCATCCATTCATCCATTCATTCATTCATTCATTCATTTCATTCATTTCATTCATTCATTCATCCATTCATCCATTCATCCATTCATCCATTCATCCATTCATCCATTCATCCATTCATTCATTCATCCATTCATCATTTCATTTCATACCATTTCATTTCATTTCATCTCATTTCATCTCATCTTATTTCATTTCATTCTTTCATTTTTTCATTCTTTCATTCTTTCATTCTTTCATTCATTAATTCATTCATTCATTCCATTCATTCATTCATTCATTCATTGATTCGTTCATTCATTCATTCATTCATTCATTCAATCATCCGTTTGGGAGTTTCCGAAAATAGGAGCACCGTACCCTAAGTAGTAGGATCCTCATTAAATTATAAGTAGTTTTCGGAAACTCCCATTTGCAGTCTCAGAGCCTCATGGAAAGCACCGAGGTCCACCTTCTCTGATCACATAGCACTGTGGACAAAAGACAGGGAACAAAACCGGTACTACAGACGGTCGAGATAGTGCGTACCTGTATCCCCTAACCTTGCAAAACAGTAGGTTATGACCCCTTGGTCAGAAGGTATAACCCTCAAAACAGTAGAGCTTTGGATCCAGGTCATAAAAGTCTTCGAAGACATAGGCCTCGGGCGCTGAGTGGTCAGAGGCGAGAGGCGTGGACCACCCAGTTGTAGAATGTCAACATCCCGTCCAGGTGATCGAATATATCCTGAATCAAAGGGTTCATGCGCCAACATATTAGATGCTTCGGAGATATTTGGACCCCGGGAGTATATGCACGTACCAAGTATGACATACTTTCACTTGGACTGTTTGGGTGCACATCTCTTCGAACCACCTGACTATTCGGGTCTGCATAGGCATCCCCGCTTGGAGGGTGCTCTGAGTTGCGGTTTAGATGTGAAGTTCCTCGTGGATGGCCGAAACCCTAAACCTCAAACATATAAGCCCCTAAACCTTCAACCCTAAGCCCCTATCCTAAACCCCTACGTACTAGACCCTAAACCCTTAACCCTAAAACTTTAAAACCCTAAACCCCTAAACCGTAAGCCTCGAAACCCAAAGCCCCCAAATCCCAACCAACCCCCCCCTATAGACCTTGAACACCCCTAAACCCTGTACTTGCACACACACCCGTAAACTCAAACTACACCCCAAACCCCTAAGCCCCGAACTCCAAACCCTGTTTCAGTTAACGCATACACCTGTACACCTGCAGCTCAAGGTCACGGAGTCTGAAACTTGCCGATTTCTGGAAGCAAAATCCCATCTGAGCGGGCCCAAAGGTTTAGGGTTCAGGTTTTACGGCTAGGGTTCGAGGTTTAGTTTTTGTTTGTTGAACATCCCTTTTCCACCGGCAGAGGTCCGGAAAAAGTCTTAGGGTTTAGGGTTTAGGGATGAAACTTGCAGGCCATCTCACACCTCAGACCCGAATCCTCATCCCACAAAGATAGTTCGCTCTGAAACTTCATAAGATCACACGAAGGCTGCGGTTAATACGGGTTTCCAGTGTGAGGTCCTGAATAACTAGAACAGGACTTTGGGAGTATCGTATGATACAGTCTGATCATATGCTTTGTCAGGACCGGAATGGGATGTTACTACGATTGGATGGAGTCTGCCAGGGGGTCTCGTTGTATGGCTATACCATTGTGTTATGGGAACTGTGAGAGGGTAGAATTACTTGCTGAGGTTTCAGACCCCCAAACCATTGCAGCACCCTCACAGGAACCCTTACAAACCTTCACTTGGACCCCAAAACCTGGTCCCACAGCCGAGCTGCTGCACCCGCAGCACGGCAAGTGATCCTTGCGGAATCCCGAAGGACTTTCCGACTCCGGCCGAAGGATGAGGGTCTTGAGGATTTTTCCCAAGGGGTCCAAGTATCATTATGGTATATACTTATAGGCTATTTTGGGGGTTTAAGTATATACCATAATGATACTTGGACCCTTTGGGTTTGGGGGATGTATTCGGAGGGCTGTTGGACTTCAACGGCTTGCAAGCTGTTGTATACCGAACGAAGTTGTGGACGTCTAGGCGCCTGAAAGGAGATCTGCTGCAGCTTGTGAAAGATATAAGATGGCCATATCAGGTTTCCGAGTGTAGCTGCAGAGTTTCAGGGTTTATAGATTATAAACCCCCATTCTACACTAAATCCTACACCCTAAGCAGCCTGAAACTACTACATCGCGCACCCATAAAACCATGGAATCCCAACTCCCTGGAACCCGCACATCCTAAACATTAAACGTGAAAGAACCCTTGCCTTGCAGGTGTCTTTCAAAGATCCCTCATGTTGTATTTTGTAACTTGTATTGACATGATTGAAACATCCCTTCGTAGACTATAGAATATCTTCATGTATGTGTTTAGTAGAAGAAAATTGAAAGGAACCCTAGCAGACAAACTGGGGCCTCAAAAACTGCAACTTCTCTTCCAGGGTCTCGAGCTGGTGAAAGCGCGCCCGAAAGGATTGCCTTGACTACGCTGGGGTTTTTGCTTGGTGCTTATAGGGCCCATATGGTTTAGGGTTTGGGGTTTAGGTATGAGGCTTAGACGGAATGTTAATGGTCTGAGTCTTGAGGGTTTTGCGGGCTTTTTGGGGTTCGGTGAGGCTACGGTTCTACAAAACCTGAGCCCCCGGAAACCTCGAACCCTAATCTCTGATGCTGAGCTTCCAGCAGCTTCTGTCGGAGCCGTTTCTGTGTGGTGATAAGGCACTACAAACAATCTTAAAACGGCATCGTGCTGGTCATTCTATTATGATACTGACTGTGTTACGAGCAAGAATGGACATGGCGATGTGAATGCAGAATATATACTAGTCATGGGCATGAACAGTTAAAGAAGACAAACATGTCAAACAACATGAACATTACATTGACAGCACATTTGTGATTCTGCCAAGGAGAGCCGTAACAGCACCTTTTCTGTTGAAACCACTGGGGTTGAAAGTTGTAAGAGTGCCACGAATTTAGAGGTGTAGCAGAAAGCACAACTTGTCAGAGGTGCTTCGGGGTGTACCATAATATGAATATACTGGGAGTACAGGGGGACATGATCAATGATTACCAATTGTTCAAGCCTCGGCAATAATTTTCTTCAACCCTGACCAAGAACAACAAACATGACAATGGCGAGGACGCTAAATGATGAACCCAAGGGATCAAGGCTTCGAATCTTAGGATGTTAAGCCCTACAAAGCCCTAAAATCTAAACCCTTAAATCCTTTACAGCCCTAACCCTAAGGCTCAAAATAGCCCAAAAGCTTTATATAGTATGGTCTTTGGGCCTTAGAATATGAGTCCTATAGAGCCTATGGGTCAGCCTTTGACCCAGAATCTCAAGGACCTAAACCCTAAACCCTAAGCAAGGTCGGGCCGCGTGTAGTGGAAGCCAGCTTTCGCTCGATCGTTGTAGACCTCTTCGGCACTGTCAGCGTTTAGGGAAAATAGGGGTTCCTTAAAGGGATCTATAAGGGTTCTATAAAGGATTTAGGGTTTAGGTGCTTAGGATTAGGAGTTCCGAAAATAGACCCCGAAATATGCTACCCCTGATTTTCGGAAACTCCCGTTTAGGAATTTAGGGTTTAGGGGTTTAGGGTCGATGTTTTGTGGTTTGGGCTTTAGGGTTTAGGTTTTAGGGTTTACCCATAGGCCCCATAGTAGTTCCTTTTTGGGAATACCTGATAGGATGCTACATATGGTCCCAAAAAAGGAACTACTATGGGGCCTATGGGTAATTTAAGGGCTTAGGGTCTTCGTTTTAGGGTTTAGGAGCTCAAAGGCTCCAGGGTTTGGGAGCTGACGGGTTCAAGCTTGGTGAGACGAAGCTCCGAGGTTTGCGAAATTCCCAAACCTTGAACCCTAAACCCTAAACCCCTGAACCCTAAACCCTAAACCCCTAAACCCTAGACCCCTAAACCCTAAACCCTAGACACCTAAACCCTAAACCTCAGACCCTTAAGCCCTGAAGCATCCTAAAACCATAAATGGGAATTTCCAAAATTTAGGGGTCCCTTGTTCTGGGGTCCTTATAATAAGGATACTACTGTTTAGGGTACTATATTCGGGTCCCCGATTTTCGGAAACTCCCAAATCCCTGAACCCTGAACCCCTAAAACTCGAACACCTCTGACTGCAGGACGGGTACCTGCGTGAAGAGGACACCTCCCTCGCGCAGGGCGTCTGCCACGATCCGAAAGCCTAGAGGTTTTGGGTTAGGGGCTTTCGCTTTAGGGGTTTAGGGCTATAGGGCTTCGGGTTTCGTGCTTTAAGGTTTAGGGGTCTGGCTGTATGGTTTCGGGCTTGGGACTTTACGGCTTTATGGTTTAGGGTTAGGGGCTTTCGCTTTAGGGGTTTAGGGCCTAGGGCTTCGGGTTTGGCGCTTTAAGGTTTAGAAGTCTATGGCTTTATGGTTTCGGGCTTGGGACTGTAGAGCTTTATGGTTTAGGGTCTGGCAAAGGATAGAACCTTAGAACTTCCATCGAGCCCTATCCATAGCGCAACCCGAAACCCCTATACCAAGGCAATCCTTATATAACCAGTACGGACGAGCAGAACACACTTAGGACTTAAAGTATCTGCATAGCAACCCCTTCAAGGCCAAAGTCTATGCTGTTTGGGAGCATGGACACCTATGATAACACCCCCTCCCAAAAATGAAAGCTGGCCCTAAACCCTAAAGCCCAAACCCTAGGCCCTAAACCCTAAACCCTAAAACCCTAAAACCTTAAACCCTAAAGCCCAAACTGTCAATTCGATGCAGGATCCTAAAAGTGTAACGTCTGCTGATTCAGCTTCCCGGCTTGAGGAAACCCAGGGTCTGGGAGTGTGTTAGGGTTTAGGGGTTTAGGCGTTTAGGGTTTAGGTAGGGGTTTAGGTTTGGGGGTTTAGGGTTTAGGAGCTTAGGGTTTTGGGTTCTGGAGTTCTCTTTTTTCTGCTCTCCTAGCTCCTTTTGCAAAGCTGTTTGGATTTCGCGGGTTCCAGGGATCGTCTCAGGCTTTGCCGGAGGAGGCTTCTAGTCCCACAACCCAAACCTCGACACCCCGATATCCCCCTAGTCCCGTCCCAACTATGACTATCACAAAAACAACGCAAAATCCCACGTGTTAATTCTTTAGGCCCCTTTCTTGAAGAGATAAACTTATCACATCGTCTCCCTTGGGCCCTCTTAAAGCCTAAACCCTCAAACCCTAGACCCCAAACCCTAAACCCCTAAACCCTAAACCCTCAACCCCCAAACACCTCAACCCTGCACCCTAAACCTTAACCCTAAACTCTCAGGGCCACCTTGCTTCGGATCGTGCGTGTGGTGCAGCACTCCCCAGCAGACAACGAAGTCATACCCGGCCTTGTGCTTCGAGAGTTTCCGAAAATGAGGGACCTTAATATAGTACCCTAAATAGGGGCCTTAATAAGTGGGTTCCTTTGAGGGTTCCTGTTGAAGGGGTATGTAAGGATTATTACGAACCTTCGGAAATCATTCGAAGCTGAGGGGTTCAGGGGTACCTTGTTGGGTTACCATCAGGGTTCCTTGGAGGGCTATGAGGGTACTATAAGGGTTACTCTAGAGGGTTACTATAAGGTTACAATACGGGCTCTAGCTGAGGGGTGTAGGGAATAGGGTTTAGGGTTTCTTGCTTCTGAAGTCTGGTAGTTTCCGAAAATGGAAAACCCTAACATAATACCCTAAATAGTAGGCTCCTTATTATAAGGACACCAAATTTTGGTACCACCAATTTGCAGAAACTGCCAGATATTGGGAAGCTGAGAGTTCAGGGTTTCGAGCTTTAACGCTTAAGGATTTGAGGGTTTAGAGTTCAGGGGAGTTCTTCTGAGTTCAGGGTTTGGAGTTTTAGAGTTTAAGGGTTTAGTGCTGCGAGTTCAAAGAATGTCGTCTTAGGGCCTCAAAGGCCGTTTTTCCCTAAGATTGATTTTTCCGAGATTAACGTTTTGCTTGCCAGGGCCACCTCTGGAATCTACAAGCATCCGGCTCAGTATGATCCCCCCAACCCCGTCAAGCCTGGCCTGAGTCCTGCATACCTCGCAGGGCCACAGAGCCCATAAGTGCTTGAAAGTTTAACCTTCTAAGGCTCTAAGGGCTCACACTTTCGGGCAAATGGGCCCGACGATCACATGTTCTAAGGCTTGTGGGTTATTTTGAGGCGTTTGGAGTAGTGGTGAACTACGGAGCCTGAAAGTCCTTGGGAAACCCGAAATCGTTGCCTTCGAATAACACAACCTAATTATATAACCTACCCTCTCCTATTATCCTGCACACTCTCCGTAATTATATCTTTCTGAGGGCTTCTTCAATCCCAATCTCAAAATCGGAAAGAAGGGTTTCGCATGATCCCCAAACCTACAGCAAACCCAAAAGCCTCGACCCGACATCCCAGTACCCTAAACTAAACGGGGCATGCGAAGCCCTAATCTCTAAACCCCACGCCCTAAACCCTACCGAGAGTCTCCATTCTAGTTCCTTGTTGGAGATACCTTGTAGGATCTTATGTATACGCGTGGTTAAACCAACAAACGGAGCTACAGTGGAGACTCGAGGTAAACCCTAAAACTCTGGAGCAAGTCCAGCCTGAAGGATCTCACAGAAACCGAAAGCACAACGACGAGATCTCCACAATCTCTGAACCCAATAACCCCGAAACACACGACGAACATGCCTGAGGGTTGAGGGCTTGAATTGTGGGGTTAGGGCGTATCTAAGGGTTTAGGGTCTACGCATACCCTAAACCCCAAACCCCAAACCCTAAACCCCAAACCCTAAACCCCAAACCCTACACCCTCAACCCTAAACCCCAAACCCCAAACCCTAAACCCGAAACCCTAAACCCCAAACCCTAAACCCGAAACCCTAAACCCCAAACCCTACACCCTCAACCCCAGACCCGGAAAGCCCAAAACCTGAACCGCGGAGGCCCCTGCAAGCCTCTAAACTCAAAGGGTGTTATGGCTGACGATATAAATCTTTAAGGGGCTCCTTTAGGGGACCTATAGGGTTTTAGGGTTTAGGGTTGATGATGTAAATCCTGCATTACCTTAAGGACCCTAAACTATGGGAATTATGGTATATTCCTTATTATGGGTAATGCAGGATTTTTATCATCAGCCGTATGGAGGGATACTTCCCAGTGTTTAGGGTTCCTTTTGAAGGGTCCGGGATTCCTTTTGAGGGGCTCAGGGTTCCATTCGGGGGGGATACTTGCCGAACTCATAATAGAAATTCCTGAAATAGAAACCCTGCGTCTACTTTAAAGGTACTTAGAATCCTTTGGGAAAGCAGTAGCAAGTATGAGTACCCTAGCTCGAACATGAGCTTGACTTCTTGATTGCTGTAGGAGTTTCAAGCCCCACACCTGCGCCCTAAACCCATAAATCCTAAACCCTTAAACCCTGAACACTAAGCCCTGAAACCCTAGGACCATTTAACTCAAAGCACTCAGCCTCTGATGCCCTGAAGCGGTTAAATCCTAACCCAGGGTCGGACGGCCTGATAGCCTGGTAAGCTGGGAAGATCAAACAGCGACCTTTTTGGCGGCATCGAGCACGGGTTGAGGGCTGTGGGTCGCTTGAGCGTTAGGGCTTAATTCCTGTTTAGGCTTTCGGGGGCTTGAAGGTATCTGTGGGCTTAGGTCTTGGGAGTTTGGTTGAGGACTTGGACTGTCGGGGCCCGGGTTTGGGTGCCTCGGGGCTTTGGGTGTAGGCTATAGGGATTGAGGGGGGGAGTGAGTTAAGCCTCGTTGTCCCTATGCTTGCCACCCATGCCAGGGGCCTACAGCACTGCCTAAGGCTTGGGGTTCATTCTGCTGAGAGACAAACTTCTACATTGCATTGATATATCTACCCCAAAACCATAAAGCAAATAATCCCAACCCCGAAAGACACAACACTCAAACCCCAGACCTTGCCATGAGGCCCCAGTTTCCGAAAATAGGGGACCCTAATAACGTACCCCAAATAGCAGGATCCTTATTATAAGGACCCCAAAATAAGGTGCCCCTAATTTTGGAAACTCCCAAAGAGCACTCGTTCCTATGGAGATCCCAGGGATGGCTGTGTCGCGAACAGCGAAACTCGCGCGATCGGAGCCTGATCGCACTACGCCCAAATCCTGGAAGGTTAGGATGTACGGCTGAATTACAGTCTAGGACTAGGGGTGTCAGGTTTCAGTGTTAGGGTTTACGGTCTAGGAGGAAACTCTGAGACTTCATGCCTGAATAATGAGAGTCGGGTTGCTCGGGGACGTTAGTGGAACTATATTCTGCATCCCTAACCTTAAGGGTCCAAGCACCTAACTATCATATGTACACTCCAAAATAGTATCCTAAACCTAAAGTACACAAGTCTTTGATCCTTTGGACCCTTAAAGTTATTCAGGTCTCTGTATTACCACCGAGCCCTCCGAGTCTTTCCCGGATCTGTTCGGCAAGGAAGCATCTCGTCATATAACCTTATGGGAGTTTCGGAAACTTAGGGGTACCTTAAGGGGTAGCTTTGAAGGGTTACTATAAGGGTACCACACGGGTTCCTTTAAAGAGCTCCAGAAAAAAAGGATTAGAGTTTCCGAAAACTGAGTCAACCGTGAGGAAAAATGTTGGTAATTATTGCAGCCCCTATACTACGGTTGATGATATAAATCTTGCATTACCCATAATACGGAATATACCATAATCTCCATAGTCTAGGGTCATTAAGGTAATGCAGGGGATATATATATATATATATATATATATATATATATATATATATATATATATATCATCATCATCATCATCATCATCATCATCAACCGTACCACCTATTCGGCGAAGCAGCATCTGGTATGTCTCCGGGTTGTACCTCCTCGTAGACTTCCTGGGCACGGGCTCATACAGCAGCCAAGGTCTGGATGCTTCAGGGTCAATATAGGGGCCTAAATAAGTACCAATACTATTTTGGGGGTTGCTTCTTATAACTATAGTATAACGGGCCCCAAAACCCCATTCCAATTATTCAGGCCCCTACATAGTGTGCTATGGATCTTAGGGCCCGTATGCTCTAGACTCGCCGAGCACCCCGCGCATGATTCGACATCCTGAAAGATCATCTTCCCACCATGATAGTTACAGCAATGAACCCCCGCTAGAAACACCACTAGTGGCGCTTCTTAGGTTGTGCTTTGACTTTCTGAATTAGTAGGAGCACTACTGAACTCTTACATATCGGAATATGCAAGTAAACTTGACCTCATTGGGAAGTCGGGCGCGCGGCTCCGTAACATGATCCTCGGGACAGCACGGACACTGCAGCGGTCTGAATAATCCGTAGTTGTTTCCACTGATAGTATCATGCTAAAATACTCCAAAGCCTCATCCGATTGTTCAGGCCCCTGCATTCGACTATTCCTGACGGCTCGTCCTGGCTGATTAACTACTAAATTAATGTTTTAGCCTCCTGCATACCTTGTTGTCGATGAATACTGGAAGGCAAGCTCACGCCCGACCCAAAAAAAACTCTAAAACCCTAAGCCCTGAAACCTAAACCTCTCCACCTGCCGCGGCATTTGCACCGAGGCTCATCTGAAGTGCACATATGTAAGCATTCACGTACGTACGGATATATGTATGCATGCATGCGTGCCTGCATGCATGTATATGTAAATGTATGCATGTCCGTATATGCACACATGGTACCCCTAAATTTCAACAACCTCCCATCCCAGGCACACCGCATGGGGCGATGCATCCACGGAGGTGACCTGGAGCTCTGGAGACTCGAAGCATGATTAAAGTACTTGGTCTTCGAGACTTGGGTGGTTGTCGAAATTAAGGGGTCTCTTTTTCGGTACCCTAAATATTAGGTGCCGTACTATGTTAGGGACGGACCATAAAGGGACCATAATTTTGACATCCACCCACTTAGAGGAACTCTAAACCCAAAACCACCCTGAACCGTCTGGGTTGGAAGCTGCCCCCACCCTGTAATAGTGACTATAAGGATTATATATGATTATATTAGGGCCCTATTATATTCCTATAAAACCACTATTACAGGGTGGGGGCAGCTTCTAACGTCTGGGGTTTAGTTACAGTTCAGAGTTTGAGCTGCTCAAAGCCGTTTAGAAGGAGGTCCTTAAACGTCTTATCTGGAAAAGCATTTAGGCTTGGGGTGGGCTATAGCGCATTGGGTGTTTTGAATAAACTGAGCTGCCTATCGAAGTTTGGAAGAGGGGCGTCTTCTGTCTGCTTGCATTGATTGAACTCGGTTTATTGCAGACTTTGGGGCTTATGGCTGCGGGTTCAGGGCCCGGCGTGTGGAGTTTAGTATTTAGGGTTCGGGGCTTGAGCCCAACACCTCCCAACCAAACCAAAACAACTGGGTTGCGTTGCCAATCATGTAGCAGGGATGCACCAAGGAACTGCATTCAAACTACCCAGATGGGGATTTACCGTAATCCTATAATTCCCTGAAAGTCCAAATGTTTAGAGAATATATACATTGACCCCAAACTATCAAGAAAAGGGACTACTTTAAGTAAGGCCAAAAACCGCAAACAACATATACCAGTTGGGTGCATGGACTGGTTTTCCTTGTTACCTTACTGAACTTAGAACCCTAGCAAAGATGGTAATTTTAGCTGTTTCTTAGGGATTATAATAACCAACAAATAAAAATTATTTCCAAGTACCCCTGAGGTTACACGAAGCAAACATGAGCAAGAGCCCAGGAGAGATCAGTTCTTCTAGGTTCCGGGCTTGAAGAGCCTCAGGAAGACACGGGCCTTGCTATTTAGAACAGGGTCCTTGGTGTACCTTGACCCCCAGGGTCCATATACACTACTATTACGGAATTAGGCCCTAAAAGACCATGCCCATTATGGTTTTGGGGGACCTAATTCCATAATAGTGGTGTATATGGACCCTCTGGTTATAGTATCTGTATTATGGTGATAATGGCGACTAAATAAAGCGGGATACCAACACAAGGTATTCCGACCCGCATGTTAGCGAAACCTTGGCTGGTCGGTCATGGCCACTGCCCTACCAGTGCTAACAACAACCCCGACAACGACAAGAACATCAAAACAAAAACCTGAGCCAACAGTAAGCAACAAGCGAGCCTTTGGCACAAGCCGCTCACAAGCCTCGAAGTAAAGGGTCGCAAAGCACAGAAACTCATCGCCAAACGCCGTGAAAGCCTGCCGGATGATGTCATACATCAGATCGTGGATCGCAGGGGCCTCGCGATGGATGCTGCACTGTGCTGGGTCCTCCTTGCCACTGCCCTGTGTGCAGCAGCATGGGCTCAGGACGCTGGCCAGCATCCTGTTGCAGGTCGTGTGCTTCTTCACGTCCAAAGGCAAAACATTGAACGCCTCCTGCTCGAGGAAGCTCAGCACTGCACTGCTCAGGGCTGCCAGCTTTTCCTTGGTCAACCCAAAACCCTAAATGCTGAACACTAAACCCTAATCCTTCGCATGCTCATTGAGATGCTAACTCTCTTCCTCAGAAGGGATGCTTGATGGCAGCACGTCCGTGCTCATCGTAACATGCACTCCATTAGCCCCACGTGGGGCATCTATCAAAATATTTAAAGAGCTCGCACGAAGCTCAGAAACTGGATCTTTCAGAAAGCCAAAAACCAGATGGGCCCTCAAATGGGAGCTTTGGTAGGTTCCCCTGACAAAAAAAGCGCGCAAAGACACTGCAAACACCCGGGGAAAACTTAACTACACCCTAGCCTAAACCCAACCAAGGCTGCCCAACTAACCCCGACCCGAAATGCTACACCCAAGAAACAGAGACCCTCTATAGATCCCAAACTACCACCCCATTCCCTGCCCAAAAGCCCTGGCTCTAGATCCGAAGCCTTTCCCAGAGGGTCCATATATCCTGTAGGTCCCAAAAGACCATCCGTACCATGGTTTACAGTAGAAGCCCAAAAGTTGGAAACCCAACAGCCTGAACCCTTAAGAGTAATGTATAGGGAATCCCAGCACTATTTGGCCTTAATCCGTTTCCAACTTTATGGGGGTTAAGGACTTGAGAGTCGGCTCGCAAGCCTGTATAAACGCTACGTGTCGATCCGAGTCCCCCCTTAGTTCTAAACGCCCAGCATATCCAGGACCCCCCAAGTGCCCGGTAGTAGAGCCCTTGTGGTCCCAGATAGAGAGTATGTGGGTTTAATAGAGGGAAGTTGGGGGGGTCTAGGATATCCCAAAGGTGTAGGGCTGTAACCTACGAGCTACTGGTAAGGCCAAACCCTAAACCCCACCTTTGCGCCGATCCGCATCAGCATCGCCGTCCATCTGCCGAACCCTGGTTCAAAGGCTCGGTTTACACTGCAGAGTTTTTGGCTTTAGAGGACCGGGTATGGGGGCCAGGGTGTATGGAGGTAGGATTCAATAATATGAAGGTGGCATGTAGAATCCCAACGAACCTCATTGGGGCATTCGCTCCCTGAACTCCTTCTAGAGCATACCCAAGGGGCCCAAGTACCTACAAAATCACATGCTCTCGTGAATACCAACCTGCCACACACTACGATCTGCAAGCCAAGCAACACTTAATGTAGGGCCGTAATAATTAGAATAGGGATTTGGGGCCCTTTATACTATAGTTACAAGAAGGACCCCCCCCCAACATAGTATAGATAGTTATTGAGGCCCCTAGATTATTCAATTAGCGGCTAAACCCTGAACCCTAAACCGGTCCTTGGGACCTCAGGGATAGGGCCCCTTCAGCCGAGCGATCGCATGCTACCCAAATCTTCCAGGATCCCTTAATTAAAGAATACCAGGGGATCCGAAAACCTACCGTTTTAAGGACTATAGTGACCATACCCTATAATTAAGGGGTCATAACCGACTCTGTTGCAGGGTTTGGGGATGCCTGTCAACTTATAGCAGGAAGGGGTCCATGCGCACAAATCGTTTCTACTGTTGTCTTAAAGTAGTCCCTATTTAGGTACAATTACAAAGTACTTGGGCACATGGGACCTTAGGGGACCAGGAAAGCAGAACATCCAAAGGTCCAATAACGGATTTCAATTGGTCTGAAATTTGAGGGTAGCAGTAGCAGTAGTAGTAGCAGTAGTAATAAGACGAGTCATAATCACAAGAAGGAGCCCTCAGCCCCCGATACTAACAGTATTCCCGACCATTGAGTCTTGCACGTTGAAGGCCAAGGATGGCCCAAACCTGGAACGTTACAACCCTAAAGCCTGAACCCCACCAGGAACCCCCCAAGTGCCCTTTAATGGAGCCATAATGGGCATGTACGGTAACATGGAGTAGTTGGAGGGCCTAGGTAAGCCCGGAATCCTAAATCCTACACAACCTTTGACCGAAGAGTCCCGAACCAAAAGCAGCAACAACAGATCCAACACATGCAAAACCAACGCTTCAACCATGAATCAAACCCAAAGCTCTATACCTGACCTCTTCACCGACCCCTGCCACGTCAAGGACCATGAGAAGGAACCCTCAAATTTGTTGTAAGATTCCGGTAGCTTTAATTAATCCAGAAAAGTCTAGGGATCTAAGGACTCATATATCAAGGCTTTTGGCCCAAAGACCATACTAGACAAGGCTTTTGGGCGATTTTGATCCCTAGGCGAAGACCCTAGCCCTGCACACCTAACCCCTTGGGCGTGAGATTGAGTGGAACCCTTTCCCGGCCGCAGCCCACGTCAAGCGCATCCGCCCCGACAACACGGGAGATGTCCAAGGTGACCTTACTTGGAAGCTCATCCCTAAGCCCTAAACGCTTCTTGGGCAGCTAGGGTTTAGGGTTTAGGGTCCAAGGGGAAAAGGAGGGACCCTTAATTGGGACCCCTAGGTATATACCCTTAATATAGCTAGTATATACCCATTATATAGCCCAGTATAGGGTAGGGGTCCCCATTAAGGGTCCCTCCTTTTCTCCTTTGATTCTTGGGTAGCTAGGGCTTTTTGCTCAGGCTTTTCTGAGAGGGTAGGATTCTGCTGCGACTCTGTGAAAGTTCGATGAGTGCTCCAGCAGGTCGTTGATACACATGGCGGTGTATGTTTAGGGTTTCGGTAAAGGGTCGCTTGAAAAGGTCTGCAGATAGCTTTATTAATGTTTCAAGACACGTAGGGGTGCTTTGACTGTGTAGTTTCCAGTGTCGTTTACAGAGTGAGCCTACAGGGCTTGTACATTATACACAGGTCATATAACAAGGGTTCACACATAGTTGTAAACGAGCTATGAGTAGGGTAGCTGCAGTCAAATCATCAAGTAAGTGTGTTTCAAGACCTGCTCAAAAGAAGACGGTTATTCTTGGCAGTGCAGAAGGACCTAGTGATATGCCAAACTGAAAAACTTGCAACACTATACTCCATGAGCCTTTATAGACCCGTGAAGCCCAAAACGCTGGACCCCTAACCCTGGATTCTTTTTCAGGTTTCTTCATGAAGCAAAACAAACCTTTCCGGCCCGAGGAGTGGTTGAAGGTCTTGAACCCGGAAAACCTTTCAGGGTTTCATGTATGCACTATTTATATATTGAAGATAGGAAACATCCGGGGGGAGGGAAGGGCTGCTTGGCAGCTGGCAGCAAAGTTCCTCTCAGAGTTGTCACTTGTACAGCTTGGGGCTTATTAGGGTCTAGGGATTGGGATTCAGGACGCATTAAGGCGGATGGACAACCCCCTGCATTACCACAGGTGCTGTGCTCTAAACCACTCGAATTACCTAGACCCCCGAACTACACTCAAATTTACCTTCAGCACCCACTGTTCAGGACAATCAGGGCTTTGTTTTCCTTTGGGGGGAGCTGGGATAGTGCCTTCTTGAATAATCTGGACAATACATCTTGTAGTTACTGGGCTGTTGAGGAACCCACTGCCAAACAGAAAGGATAATTTTTGGTTTGGCTATACTCTATCAGGAACCCAGTAGCAAACAAAAAAAAACGGTATAACACTGAATACCTACGAGTAACCCACTACACAGGTAGCTGGGCTCTTACTCGGTTCCCTTAGTGTTCCAGTCAGTCTGAAACCTTCACTCCCTAAACCCTAGACTCACTAAGCCCCTAGACCTTCAATTAATCTAAATCCCTGAACCCTCAAACCCTAAACCCCTAAACCGTCAACCACAGAACCCGCAACCCCGATACGCGCCATCCTTTTTTCTGAGGAGGTATCGGGCGACTGCGAGCTTGGCTCTGCGCAATAGTTCGAAAAACTTCCTCGGTCTTGCTGAGGGCTCAGGATTTAGGATGTAGGGTTTACGGTGTAGGCTTTCAACGGAAAACACGAAAAGCTGGTTTCATGTTATATTCGGGAATTCATTTACATTGCCATAAACGAAATGAAACTGTACTATTTACTATAGATCGCTATTCCGGTAATTTACGTGAAACTATGTTCGTAAAAAGAGCCCAGCAGAGAGCAAGAAGAGGTTAAGGGTTGGGGTTTTAAGGTCTAGGGCTTCTGACTGTGCTTTAGTTAGGTTCTCTTAGGATTTCGGGTCTAGGATAACGAAACGAGGTTAAGGTTTCAGGGCTTCGGGTCCTGGGTTGTGAGAGAGAGAGAGAGAGAGAGAGAGAGAGAGAGAGAGAGAGAGAGAGAGAGAGAGGCGGAGGGACAGAGCGAAGCGCCAATTCCTTAAAGCAAAAAAAGAAGGGAAGCACATTCTAGGTGCCTTGATACTTAGAAGAGGGCTTTTGGCTGAAGTAAAATAAAGTTATAAAGGGGACCTTCATACCGCTCAATTTCGCAATCTGTCAGGCTTCAATCTTACTTTGATCAATATCTCATACATGAACTGTAATGAGGCCCTGAGATCAGTCGAGGACCTAAATCGAAACCAGAAACCCTAAAGCCTGTCCAAAGACTGTCCTAGATTCCAAGGCCAACCGCCACTTGCCAGCTTGCCGACAACTGTTGATCGCGGCAGCGTAGCCTGAGAGGCTTCAAGGGTTCAGGATATAGGTTTTAAGGCTTTAAGATTTGTGGCTTAAGGGTTTACAGTCTAGGGTTTAAATTTCAGAAGGGGACGCCGTGGACGCTTGTTTGTTCCTTACGGGGTTTGTTCCCAGGAGGTTCTTTTCGGGTTGTGTTCCCAGCCGGGCCCCCGACTTACAGGCTTAAAACTGAAGTCTTTGAGTCGGGGCCCAACTGGATCCAATATCCAACATTGCAGAAAAAGTTTCTTGGATCCATTTTGGATCCAGGCGGGGCCACGATTTAAAGACTTAGGTTGTTCAAGTATTTAAGTTGGGGCCCCGGCTCCAGGTGGATCCAAGAAACCTTTGTCTGCAATCTTGGATCTTTATCCAGCCGGGGCCCCGACTTAAAGATTTAATCGGGGTGTTCCCAAGATTTTCTCGGGGGGCCGCATATATGTATGTACATACACATATACATATACGTACACATATACACATACATATACACATGGGTATACAGGGACTTCAGGGGGATACTACATGTATTACGAAGTACTCTGACCTTAGAGTAGACCTCGAAGTGGTTGCGCTGCTTGGGCGTGTCAGGGTCTAGACTCCAGCCTCAAAGCAGGTATCGAAGTCAAGCTACAGGTTTAGTAGGCAGCTGTCCACGCGCCCTGCAAAACCTCATATCTGTAGCTACAGTATGGTAACCCACTGTGCATAGGCAACTGGACTTCGGAGGAAGCTTCTGCAAAGGCGTTGCGGTCATTTGGGTCTTGGGCTGAACGGGACAACGGACTTCTGGGGTCTGGAAACTTCGGAAGTTTGGGAAAGTTCTTAGGATGTAGTGTTGAGCGCAAGGTATGTAGTTGCCAGGACAGTGCACAAGTAGCGAAGGACAGACGCCCCTAAATACTGGAACCCTATACATCCCCAACTCTGACCACCGTAAACCTGCTGTAAATCTACGAGAACCCTAAACCCTACAAACCCCTAAATTCCAGACCAAGAAACACACCCAAAAACCAACACCCTAAACTCCAGATCCTCAAGCCCTAGAGGTCCTCACCCTAAGCGTCCATGTACCCAACTAGTATAGACTTTGACACCAAAGTACCTACATAGGGACTATTTTAAGGCCAAAGTATAATTATACTGATTGGGTATATGGACGCGTAGGGTAAAGCCCCAAAACTCAAATCCTCTCCAACGACGAGCCACTCATCGCGCTCGGCGTCAGCTTCGCGCGTGGCATGCAGTCCAAGAGGTGCCTCGAAAACTTGAAGCCCCCCGTCTTTCTAACACGTAGCTCTTCCAGTTTATCTTGCTAAAACCTGGGCCCACCATCGCCTAAGACCTGAACCCGCAACACCTACACCCCTGAACCCTTAAATCCCTGTGCGAAACCCTAAACCTGATTTCCGTCATCAAAGAAAATACGTTACCTACGAATAGCAGCCGAATCATGTGGTGTATGCCATGTTTCTCGACCCTTGTTTTTTGGCAAAAAGGCCCTATAACCCCTAAACCTTACAGCCAAGCCTGAAATCGTGAACACTAAACCCTCTAGCTATAAACCCTAAACCCGAATCCTAACCTTAACCTTACAAAGGTGCTAAATCCGTTGCATACTCGACTATTAACTGTAGATGGAAAAACTGCTAATCCCGAAACCCTTAACAATAAGGTCCCCGTACTCCTTATTGCAGGGCTTTGGGGCCTTTTTGGGTACCAAAAACCCTACACAAGGACTAATTACTTGGACCTTTAGAGATAACCATAAAACCCGAGATTGCCCACTGACCCAGCGGGTCCAAGTACCCACTTTGCGGTCCCACATTCCATACTCTGAGTGGCCTTGGTTTGGATACTTAAAACTCCACTAGCTGGGAACTTGGACACTGGAAGTGAGCTCAGAAGCCTGAAAAATTACTAACTTGCCTACAAGTGTAATATGCAGTCTGATTGCTAAACCCCCTGTATGTAGAACCGTCATAGCACGCCTCATGGATCCCTTCCAGGAAAAATCAATTACAACAAAACCCATTAACCCTGAAACTCTAAAGCCCTTAACCTTAACCCTAAAGCGTACGCGCTATAACTCTGATACACTGCATCCCTAAACCCTAAACCCTTTAACCCTGATTCCTTCAAGAAGCTAGCATCTGGAGCAAAGTGGCAAAGCTGGCAGCCACTGGGTGGCCTTCTCGCAGGTGGCGATCCTCACTACCCAGATCTTCAACTTTCCCGGAATTGAAGGAAACACACACATATGTATATAATAAAACAAAACATAATATGCAACAAGATTCTATGATATAGTACAAAAATATTGTAATAGAAAAGAACAGAAGGACAACGAAAATAAGATACTAGGAAAGAAGAGAAGAGCAGAGAAGATAAGACAATAAAATATAGCAAAAGATAAAAGAAAAGAGAAGAACACGGAAGAAAAGAGAAGAGAACAGAAGAGAACATAACAGAATAGAACAGAGTTGATTAGAACAGAATAGAATAAGAACCTATGAAGAGTATATATTTGAAGTGAGGGTTCCTTTCAGGGCTCCTCTAAGGGTTTTGTATTATACAGCCCAAGGGCTTTTAGGGTCTGATAACCCTGCTTCCATCAAAGTTGAAGGAGCTGTAGTCTGGTAGGACGCCTACTTAATTTAGGGAGTTTTTGCTGAATTAGGATGTATTGGAAGATCTGGGATAGCATGCGCATTTAGGGGAACCATGACGTAGACTGATGTAGACCCTTTGCTAATGAACGCCCCTTTCTGATAAAGCTTAAGACCAGAATCTCTATAATGATC